TCACCAAGGGTTAGAGGTGACTCAGTTGCATCCAAAAACCAGACTTAGACCAAGTACTTCAGTCCTTTTACGTGTTTCAAGATTTGTTTCTGTGCCACTGTGTTTTGCATGGGAAAAAAACGCAGGCATGTTTTCAATCTCACAAAACCTATTGAGGTTCTGAAGGTCAGTGTCCCAAGGAACACAGAGGGCTTTGGGTGGAAATCCCCTTTCTCATCGGTCCAGTCGGGGAAATAATTCCTGGTAGGGACTCAGAGGTGGCCTCTCAGGGAGGCTCGAGGATGACACCTGACACACGATATGCTTCGGAAGTCAATGGAACTGTTATTTTTTTGTCACAAGATAGCAAACGGGGAGCCAGCTTCTGAGAACTTCTGTCCTTTCCTATCTGACCAGGCTAGTGGGGAAAGGCCCAGGGCAGACTAGAGTCTCTGCCTTGGGGTATAAAGTCACAACTGTAAACTCTTTCACATTAACATTTATTCTTGGTTTATTTTTCTCTCCAGGGAGCAATCCTTCCTCCTTCCCACCTGTCCTTCTTTATTTTATTGTGATAAAATATATGAACCAAAACATTTTCCATTTTAGCGACTGTTAAGTATACAGTTCGGTGATATTCATTACATTCCCCATTAACCAATCCCAAAAGTTTTCCATTAGTCCAAGCAGCAGCTCAGCTCCCTTGCAGCAGGAACTTCCAGGCCCCTCCTTCCGGGCGTTGGAATCCAGTGAAAAGCTTCTATCTCTCTGCGTTGGCAGTATAACCTTTCAATGAGTAAAAACAGGAATTGACTACACTCTGCATGCCTTTTTGTCTTTATGGATCGGAGTCCTTTGCCTTTCATCTTCTTCCGTTTTGTGCATTTCTGCTACTCTGCCTGCATCTGCTTTCCCCGTGTTATTATAATCCAGATTCAAAACCCTTTTTGTTGTTCTGAACATACTATACCAAATTAGCATCAGATTACTTTTCTTAATATAAAAAGCAGATGAGAGAGATATTGCCTGGTTATTTAAAATGCAAAACACTTAACTTTAATAGCAAATTAAGTTCTTTGCTTAATATTAAACTTCCGAGATAATACTACCAGACCAAGCACAGTGTCAGTTCATCAACACACAAACATTAGTTCCCTTCTCCTTTGAATGCTAATTAGGATCGCAGTAGACCCTCTGGGTTATAAAAGGGCATGATTTCCTATGCAACTTTCCACATGAATTGTCTCTCAGACTAGGCTGGCATCGCTCCAGAGCCAGGAGCTGGAAGGTCATCGTAGACAGGAATCAGAGCAAAGACACGCAAGAGGAAGGTGGCATGGTGCTGGGTGGCCCCTGGCTACAAAAGAAAGAGCTATGCTGGGATCATAGGAGACCCAGTGGAGTAAACTTGGTGGATTTAGATTAGGGAACATCTTGCTAGACAGGAAATCCCTTTACTCCCTTGGGTGTGGCTGACAGAGGTCCATCGGGCAGTTGCTTGCAGGATGGGCTCAGAGCAGAGATGGAGGCAAGAGAGAGATCAGAGGACCTCAGCAGGACCAGGGCGGTGGGCTAGGAAGAGTACGTAAGGGGTGAACCTTTACGACCTTTCAAAACCAAGAGACAAAGGCTGAGTGAAAGTAAAAGAAGCAAATGCAGAGAAGGTACGGAGGCATCTGGCCCAAGACAGGAAATGAGTAAGACCACTGACAGAAGTGTGGCAGCTGGTGAGGACCAGTGCCCTAATTATGCTGGTGTTTGCTCTCATACCATTAATCTACGTGCTGATAATAAAATCAATATAAACTTTCAGAGCTAGGGAACCACTAGGAGGCCAATACTCTCCAGTATCGTCGCTTTATGACAGAGGAAGTCCTAGAGGAAGATGACCAGACAAAATAGCGCCAGGTGTTAAGGAGGAGAGTTTGGGAAGACCAGCAGGAGTCTAAGCCAGCGGTTCTCAACCTGGGAGTTGTGACCCCTTTGGGGGTCGAACGACCCTTTCACAGGGATCGCCTGATTCAGTAGCAATATTATTGTGATGAAGTAGCAACAAGAATAATTTTATGGTTGGGGGTCACCGCAACATGAGGCACTCTATGAAAGGGTCTCAACATTAGGAAGGTTGAGAACCACTGGTCTAAGCAACGCCACTCTCCCCACCCATTGGCCAAGTATTCTGTTTCAGAAGAAATAGAGATTGAAAGGTAATGATAAGATTTCCTCACAGCAGTTTGGAAAGTCAGTCAGAGGGGGGTAGGTGACACAAGCATGTTCAAAGTAGGCTCGTTATCAGAGTTGCATCAACCAGTGCCTCTGCCCTGCCCTCTCTGACGGGCTTTTCAGCCTCTGACAACAACGTCATTTTGTCACACACTCCTACAGCTAAGATTACCAAGTCAGGCATCCATGCTGACAAAGGAACACTGGGAAAGCGGGGAGAGAGTCCCAGAGTGGCACCAATGGTTAAGGCACGCAGCTGCTGACCCAAAGGGCAAGGTTCAAATCTTCCTAGGGGCACCTCCGCAGAAAGCGTGGGCCATCTGCTTTTGAAAAATCAGCCCCCAAAGACCCCTTGGAACCCAGTGCAAGTGTGCAGCACCCAGAGTCACCCCGAGTCGGAAGCAACTCTGTGAGCAATTGGTTTTGGCTTGGCTTCTTTGGGAAGAGAAGGCACTACATGATAGACAACCTCTTTCTGACGCCCAATGTCCAAGGCAAACAAAGAAAGGATTTCTCAGCTCCTGGGAGCTGAGTCATCTGGCTTAGCATGACACAGACAGAATCCAAGGTGCCAGCGAGGGCTATCGGGGCACAGAATGGATACACCACGGTCATGTTTCTTTCATGTTTGAGGGTTATCATTGGAGGGAAGGGAGGCGGAGGACAAGGAAGAAAAGGCTGGCTATCACACTGAAATGGACATGTTCTCTAACATCTAAAACACCTAAAAGGCACCCCGGTGGCACAGTGGTTAAGTGTTTAGCTGGTAATTGAAAGGTTGCTGGTTCAAACCACCAGCCACTCCTCAGGAAATCTGGCCCCCCAGTCTCATCGAGATGGTAGCCTTGGAAAGTTCTACTCTGCCCGCCCACGAGGAGTTGGAATCGACTCCATGGTTATGTGTTGTGTTTGGGGTAGACTTGGTTTTAAATCAAAGGCCTGGAAACCCAAATACACAATCCAGTCCCTGGAAGGCATTCAATTAAGTGCCTTCATTTGCGAACACATTGATTTTGGGTCCTTGCGACCCAGCGTGTGTCAGAGAACTATGCTCTCTGTAGGGTTTTCGGGAGCAGATTTTCCAGAAGTAGATCACCAGGGCTTCCTTCCAAGGTGCCTCTGTGTGGACTTGAACCTCTAGTCCACATGCATAGTGGCTGAGCCAGTTAACTATCTGTCCCCCCAGGGCATGCATGTTCACTGAATGAGCAAATTTGCCCCCCAATCAGCAAAGAATTGAAAACCTGGTTCCCCGTCTTTCCTTTAAACAGCCTGCCCTTTGAGAGTGCTGGCCACAGGTTATTCGCCTCTGAGTCCTCCCACTGATCAGTGGTCGCCAACTCCTGAGTCCACTTACCTGCTGATTTACTTTTCACCTGATAGAAAACCCGTGAATCCCAACAGCTCCTCCTGCTAGGGCTTTTTAAGAGCAACAAAATAGGAATAGAGGCCTGCTCTGTAAACCAACTAAACTGTACGGGAAAAAAACAACAACTTTCTACTGAGAAGTGGGTTTTGAATTTTACAAATGTCTTTGACTACCTATGTTGGCTCCTAGAGAAAAACAGAATTCTAATGTTTATAACTATTTGACCCTAAATGTTGATCAGATTTCCACTGTTTGAGGGACAACAGATAGAGTGGCAGTGGTCTGGGGCTGTCTCCAGAGGATGCCAGTGCCTCCTCGGGAGGACAACAAACAGATCAATGCCCAGAACTGGCTCCCAGGAGGAGAGGCTGGGACAAAATGACCATCACAGTTGGGGAGACATTGGTCTTAGGCGCCTTTGTCGTGCTCATTGGAATTGCGTGTGTCTTTGTTGTGCTCTCAAGGGTGCAAACTAAAGATATGGGTGCTACATCAAAGTGTGGTGAAGAAAGCAAATGGTGCCTGGCTATCAGAAAGAATAGCGCCTGGGGTCTAAAAGCCTTGCCTTAAAACAAACAGCCATCTAAGAGAGGCGCCGACTAAGTTCTCACAGAAGAAGCGCACCAGCCAATGTGATCCAAGAACTGCAAATAACAAGAACCAAACCCAAAGGAGGGAATCGTATTAGAGCTTAAATTCTGAACACCTGTTTTGCAGAAGACTATGGATGACACTGAATCCTGAAAGCCATTCTCAGGGTTCCTCGTGCAGATTAAACCTCTGCTGAATCCCCACTGACTACAGACCAGGGATGGGAAAGGCCTTGTTATCAGATAGTAGAGTGTAGGGTGGATTACAGCCGTCGAAGTTAGGTCAAAGTGTGACGTCTTGTCACTTGATTTCCCACTCGATCCAAGGTCCAATGGCCCCGTTTTATTGTTGTTGATTTTTAAAAATATTTTCTGCTTTGCTTTTGATTGAGGTTTCATTCTGTTGTTTTGGGCCTTTGATCTGTGTTTTGTTTTCATTTTGTCCATTTTTGGTGTATGAAACCCAGGATAGATAAACGTAGAGAGATAACAAGTGGATTAACCGTTTGAAAGGGCATGGCAGGGGAGGTTGGTGGGAAATGGAGAGCTAACGATGAGTACAAGGAAGAAAAATGGTGCTGGAATGGATAGTGGTGATGGATGCACAGCTCTTATGAATGTGACTGAACTAGTGCAATGGGTGATATGTGACTTGTATGCCAGTGAAACTGTTAATAATAAATATTATTTTTAAAATGTTTAAAAATTAAAAAATAAATACAAGAAAAAATAAGAAGGTGCTGTCTACAGCTGTGAATAATGAATCATCTCCCCCACCTCCCGCCCCCCACCCACTCAGTGGCCACCTTTTGGGAAGAGAAGTGACTGGTGGTACATACACGTCAGCACGGCCAAACAGCGGTTCTTCAGCAGGTTCTCCTCCCTCTGCGCCACCAGGGAGCTGTTGGGCTCTGCCTGGTAGGCACACAGCGCCTCCCACTCTTTCTCCAGGCGATTCTTGTTCTTCAGATGGTCTTCCATGTAGGACTGGAACATAAGCAACACAGTCAGGAAATGGTATCTGGAGGAACATCAGTCCCTGCGCATCATTAAGGGGAAAGCTAGTTGGCTGACAGAGGGTTGAGCTCTCCTGTCCCTTCAGTTGGTGACCGAGGGAGCTGCTTCTCATACTAGGTCAACTGAGAAGCTCATCCACTTGCCAATTTATTAAATGCAGCACGTGCTTTACTACTATTTGTGTGGCCAAACATGTGTGTGAAGGGCCTACGAAGAGCAAGCACAAAGACAGGACAACATTTCATTGTGTGATATGGTAAGTGGACAGGAGCAGGAGCAGTGCAACGGAAGTTAATTGTCACAATATGAGTGCCACATGCGGACGTTAAAAACACATTATGAAGTTGATTCTTCAGGCACTTATGAACTGGCAGAAAATGACCAACGTGCACCTTAAAAACCCAAACCAAACCAATGCCATTGAGTCGATTTAGACTCATAGTGATGCTATAGAGCAGTGGTTCTCAACCTTCCTAATGCCACAACCCTTATACACAGCCTCATGTTGTGGTGACCCCCCCAACCATAAAATTATTTTCGTTGCTACTTCATAACTGTAATTTTTCTATTGTTATGAATTAGGCGACCCCTGTGAAAAGGTCGTTTGACCCCAAAGGGGCCACGACCCACAGGTTGAGAACAGCTGCTATATAGGGTTTCTGAGGATGTAAAAATCATACGGGAGCAGACAGACTCATCTTTCTCCCACAGTGCTGCTGGTAGGTTTGACCCACTGACCTTGGGGTTAGCAGTCCAATGCTCACCCAACAGTGCCATCAGCACTCCTTAAATACACCTGAAACAACTTCAATACCAGTATGGGAAATACAAATCAAACGAAGTAGCAATCTGTGGGTACTCCCTAATGTCTTCTTGCAAGCAAACAATATTGTAGTGGTGGTGATGGTGGAGGTGGTGGTGGTTAGATGCCATCAAATAGGCTCCAATCTTGGGGCCCCCATGCTCAACAGAATGAGCCACCACCCAATCCTGTACCATTTTCACCACTGTTTGTATGTGTGAGCCGATTACCCCAGCCACTGTGTCGATCCCTCTGGTCAAGGACCTTCCTCTTCTGCATGACCCTCCTCTTTACCAAGCATGAGTTCCTTCTCCAGGGCCTGCTCTCTCCTGGCAACATGTACAAAGTATGTGAAAGAAAGACTCACCGTCCTTGCCTCTGTCCTTGGCTGGATTTATATGGTAAGGCAGATCCGTCGGTTCTTTTGGCAGTCCATGGTAACGTGAACTATTCTTTACCAATACCATAATTCGAATGCATCGATTTCTCTTTGGTCTTCCTTATTCAGTGTCCAACTTTCACATGCATATGAAGTGAATGAAGATAGTATGGCTTGAGTCAGGTGCACCTCAGTCCTCCAAGTAACATCCTGCTTCTCAACACGTGAAAGCAGTCTTGTGCAGCAGATTTACCTGATAAAATAACTCATTTGATCTCTTGACTACTCCTTCCATGTGTTGATTGTGGATCTAAACAAAACGAAATCCTTGACAATATCAATCTTTTCTACATTTATCATGATGTAACTTATTGGTCCAGTTGTGAGGATTTGGGTTTTCTTAACAGTCAGTTGTGATCCACACTGGAGACTGCAATCTTTGATCTTCATCAGCAAGTGCTTCAAGTCCTCCTCACTTTCAGCAAGCAAGGTGTGTCAGCTGCATAATGCAGGTTGTTAATAAGCCTTCCTTCAATCATGGTAACACATTCTTTCTCATGTAATCCAGATTACTTGATTATTTGCTCAGCAGACTAAATAGGTATGGTGAGAGGAGAGAACCCTGATGTACACTTTCCTAGATTTTAAACCGTCCAATATCCCCTTGTTCTGTTCACACAACTGTCTCTTGATTCATGTTCAGGTTCCCCATGAACACAATGAAGTGTTCTGGAATTTCCATTCTTACCAAGGCTACACATAATTTGTTATAACCCACACAGTCAAATGCCTTTGCATCATCACTGAAACATAAATAAATATATTTTGAGTATTTTCTACTATCAGTAAAGATCCATTTGACTTCAGCAACGATATCTCTTGTTCTTCTGAATCCAGCCCAAACTCTAGCAGCTCACTGCCAATATACTGCTGCACCCAATGTTGGATAATATTCAGCAACATTTTACTTGCATGTGATATTAATGATATTGTTCTATCATTTGTGCACTCTGTTGGGTTGCTTTTCTTTTTAATGGGTAAAAATATGAATCTCTTCCAGTTAGTGGGCCAATTAGCTATCTTCCAAATTTCTTAACATAGATGAGTGAGTGCTTCCAGTGCTTCCATAGCGTGTTGAAACATTTCAGTGGATATTCCATTGATTCCTGGAGTCTTGTTTTCGGCTAATACTTTCAGTGCAGCTTGGACTTCTTTCTGCGGTACTACTGGTTCTTGCTCTTAAAATGGTTGAATGCCGACTATTCTTTTTGGCACAGTTAGTGGTTATTCTATTATAACCAGAGGAAGAATTTTTCTTGATTTCTTTCCATTTAAGATATCCTGAATGTGTTCTTCTTTTCCAGGTTTCTAACTCTAAGTCTTTGCATATTTCATTGTAATATTTTACTCTGTCTTCTTGAGCTGCCCTTTTAAATTTTCTGTTCAGCTCTTTATAATGTTCTTGATGTCATTCCAGAACTCAATAGTTCTTCTGTCATTGGTGTTTAGTGCAGCAAATCTCTGTTCTTGAAATTTGGGTAGGATATACTCAAGGTCATATTTTAGCTCTTGGACTTGTTTTTTCTTCAACTTCAACCTGAACTTACATAGGAGCAGCTGATGGTCTGTTCCTCAGTTGGCCCTTGGCCTGGTTTTGGCTGCTGATATTGAGCTTCACCATGGTCTATTTCCACCTATATAGTCAATTTGATTTCTGTATATTCCATCTGGAGAAGTCAACAACTTCTGTGTTGTTAGAAAAAGGTATTTGTGATGAAGACATCCTTGGTCTTGCAAAATTCTATCATGTGATCTCCAGTTTCATTTCTATAACCAAGACCATTTTTTTCAACTACTGTTCCTTCATTTTTGTTTCTAATTTTTGCATCACAATTGCCAATAGGTATACATGATCTTGATTGTATGTTTGATCAATTTGAGATCTGATACATTGGCAGAATATTAATTTCTATAGTTTGGGCTGCTAACTGCAAGGTTGGCAGTTTGAAGCCACCAGCAGCTCCTTGGGAGAAAGATGGGTCTTTCTGCCCTCGTAAAGAGTAACAGTCTTGGGAATTCACAGTGGCAGTGCTATCCTATCACTGTACGTCGGTGTTTACACAATGGCAGTGAGATTTTGGTTTTAGCTTTAGTGGTTGGTGTATAAATCTAAAGAATAGTTACATTTATTGGCAGATAGACATTATCCTCTCACAGACAGCAAAGTCTTTTACGACAGATCTTGAACTCAGTAATCTTTATGAGGAACGCAGCATCATTCCGTTTGCTGTGTCATTCCTGGCACAGTAAACCATATGATTTCCTGATTCACATGGCCAGTACCAGTCCACTTCAACTCACCAATTCCTAGAATATCGGTCTTTCTGCATGCTATTTCATTGTAAACTATTTCCAATTTTCCTAGAATCATACTTCAAGTTCCAATTTCAAAGTATCAATTGATGTTAGCACCTGCTTCTTCTCATTTTGAGTCTTGCCCCATCAGCAAGGAAGGTCCCAAAGGCTTTGTTTATCTGAATCATTATGGTTGATTCTAATTTCTTTGAAGGCGGCTCTTCCTCAGTCATATTTCGAGTGCCTTCTGACCTGATGGTCTCATTTTCTGACAATATCTCCACCACGTGTCTGTTAGTTAGTCGTACCGTGGAAGTTGCTGGGATGCTGAAAGCTACGTCACCAGGATTTCAAATACCACCAGGGTCACCCAACATGAACCAGTTTCAGCAGGGCTTCCAGACTAAGAACAGACTATGAAGAAGGAATAGCCTGTCCACTGGAGGGGAATTAGCCACTAAAAATCCTATGGACAGCATCAAAACCAAGCATAACAAGTATATAAGGGTTACCTTGCGCATTAGGTTCTTTTAAGAAGGATCTTCATGGGATCAAACTGACAACAGCAACTCGAAAAGATTAGATAAGGGCCCTTTCAGGGCATGGTTTCACATCCTGGGGAAGGAGCACTGAGAAAAGGAAGCTGAGAATGGTGGCACGCCTCAGAGAACATAAGCAACGTCATTAAAGGGCGCACACAGCCACTGTTAAACTGGTGTGTGTTCTGCTGTGTCGTCTCAACAACTAAACCAGGAAGAACAATCTATGTGGGTGTGAACAATGAGGGAGGCTGTTGAAGAGTGCTTGGGCCTCACTTCGAAGGATGAGCAATTTTCCCCAGGAAGGAAGGGGCCCGGACACAGACACAGGCTGTCTGGACAGAACGGGGTCTGTGCTGTGAGCACTAGCCGAGCAGGGAAAGCAGAGCTGAGGGTCCTAAGAATGCCCAAATGTCTGGCTGAGAGGTCAGGAGTTAGTAGTGCAGCACCGAGGGAGTCCTGCAGCTGGAGTCTGTCAAATGTGCTGGCAAACATACATGGGGAACCCTGGTCTCGTGATCTCTACACATCAAAGAAGAAATAAGTGTCAGGGAGGAAACAGAAGCCCTCACTCACTCACTCACTCACTCACTGACCAACCAGCCACCTCCCCCACTGCTCTCCAGTCCGGTCTGACTTATGCTTACAGCAATCCTATGGGACAGAGCAGATCGGCTCCTTAGGGTGTAAGAGAAGGTAAATCTTTATGGGAGCAGACAGGCTCATCTTGCTCCCTCTATACATAGGTGAAAAAAGAAATAGGGCTAGCCAAAAAAAAAAAAAAAAGGTTAACTAACCTCAATCAAAGAAAGTATCTCAATGAGTAAGGTTTCCTCTGAGGAGGGGGGAAACAAACCTTTCACTCTCCCTTTATTTTAGAAGCTAAGCTCTGATT